TCTATAGAGAGAAAATTTGCAGTGGCCTCAAGAAAAGAATTATAGCCTCTTCCTGAGCCTAATACCCTGAATCCATTGACTCTTATTAAGTATCCATCAGGCCTGGAGTATGAAGTTGTTCACGTTGGATGGGAGAGAGCTGAAGAACAGGAAAAAAAGAAAAAAAGAAAAAGAAAATATATAAAAAAAAAAAAAAAGGTGGTCTCTCACCATTGCCTCTGCCCTAACTGTATTTTAACAGAATAGCAGAGCCTAGCAAGCTGTCAGTGTGGCACCTTTCATGAGCACAACTATAAATACACTTTAAAAAAATTGGCTATAAATCATGTTTTGTCATTGGAGAACATAAAGAAAAATTATAGTTTTCCACTGACAAAAGCAGAAAAAAAAATAAAATCATGGCTCTAAAGTCACCTCTACTCTTATTTTCTATTCTAATCTAGTATGCTTTTCATTTTGCAGCTGAGCGATTGATTCAGTTAGGCATTCGTTTTCTTGGCTGGCTTCATATCAAAGAGTTGAAGTATTTTCAGCCAAAGAATGGATTCTTTGTCTGAGCAATCAAGGGCTGTAAATGTATATAGGCGACTGCAGTGCCTGTAGGGAGGGAGGGTTGCATACTCACTTCTAACAAGCAGAACTTGGACACAAAAAGTTGCTTCTAAATTGCACAAAAACAAAAAGCCACAATGACTTTGTCAGTAGCTCTGCTTCTCCCATCTTGACCTCAGCTGATTTTAATACGAGAAAAGACCACTCTACTACAGCCTTGCAGCCTACTGGACATCTGCACAGAGGGATGCTGTTTGTTCTACTGCAGTAAAACTTTTCTATTGCAGGGGAAAAGAACAGTAGTGATTGAAGAACTTGGTACAGATCCACTAAGCTCTGCAACTGCTAACACTTATGATCTGCACCAAAATGTGAATTAAAAAAAAAAAAAAAAAAAAAAAAAGAAAAAAAAAAAAGAATAAAAGTCAATTTTCTGCTACCAGATCCATGAATTGTGTCAAATGTTTGGATCCAAGGATATGCTTCCAAGTCCGTAGAGAGAGAAGATCCAGGTAATGTCCAGTTCAGCCATTTGATCAGCCATCTGAGGAAGAAAATATATGTGTAGGCTGAATAGGAAGAACAGTAGCTCTGCTAAGTCCAAAACCTAGCTGATAAGGGATGAAGGATCCTTTTTATGCAGCATTCCTGAGAATGTAAGATACAAGACACAAGTAATGTAAGATTCAAGTCCCCCTTTATTAACACATTCTAAGTCATAGGAGAGAAACCCTGGAAGGAAAGCAGCCTAGAACATTTGGCAAAACACTGATTAAAACCAAAGTCTTGAATATGAACAGATCTTCAGAAACAAAAATAAAACTTTTGATTTTCATGTGTAGGGGAAATGTATAATCAAATGTTGCTAACATTTAGCAGTGTTGATCTGGAATTACTTTACTTTTCTGTAGAAAAACAAAAACAAAAACAAATATGACTGACCTGACAGACTAGTTCATTTCAGCCACCCTACATCCAGTACTCATTAGTTATTGCAAAAATCCCTTTGAATTCAGTAAACTATGGATGAGGTCTTTCTATCTACCGAGCCTTTTCCAAGCTTGGAAAGCCTAGCATGGCTCTTAGTGAGATTTATTGAAGAGTTACGTTTACACTCTGACACCAGAATAGCAGTACTACCATGAGACAAAAGAGGTGTGGCAACAGCTAGCCAAAGGTATAAAGTCCAAGGCATATATAATCCTTGCAACTTTAGCAACAATATTATCCAGAACATATAGTGACAGTCTCAAAGGTAACCAAAACTGCTTAAAAAAAAAAAAAAGTAGAGGGAGAGAGAGAGATTCAATGAAGACTTGAATGAAAGAAGGGAATAAGAAGGTAATGAATTAAAAGACAGTAATAAGAATTGAGAGAGTCTGGAAAACCTCTGTCCGAAAAAATCATGGTAGTATCATATTTTCACATGTTTTATTCACTGCTGTTGGCATTTTTTTTCTCAACCTCTGTTTCCTTAAGCATATATATCTAGAAACAGGTTTTGCAGCCATGTTATCTTTTCCATATGGATGACTTCAATATATAAATGGGAAAAAACATTGTCAGAAGCTCACCTCTCCACTCTGTGTGCCTGTAGGTGTACACTTACATGATAACTGGATTTCTGTTTGAATAAAACAGTAATGGACAGAATTTGGAAAGCACAGTTTCAATATTAATTTAAAATGAGTTATTTTTAAACAGTGTCATTAAATTTGTTTTGAAAAAATGTCTGTTATTAACTTCTTTAAGTAAGGCATTTAATGTATTTATTATCTATATTTGCTTTCAGTGTAGTACTTCAATTTATTTGGGATTCATATAAATGATTCATTACTGGTAGTTTTGACACCCAGAATAATTTCAATGGTTCATTACTTCTGAATGAAAAACCTAGATTTGTTAGAAAAAATGCAACCTTATTAACTATTCATCCCATTCATTTCCTTTAGGATTAGAGAAAGCCAAAATCATTAAAAAAATAATTTAAAACTATGTCTCAGAAAGCAGGGTAAGTATGCATACTGTCACATCCCTTCGTGCAATGTAGGTTACTAGCCCCAGTAGATGAAAAATCCCACAGACAACTACAGGGGAAAAGCAAATGTGTGTCCAGAAGGGATATTCTCTGCACTCCCACAGGTACAAGATTTCCACTCCTCCCGCTGGGCTTCCAGGTAAGGTCTCTGCAGCAGCTGGCCCTATAGTGCACTTTCGAGCACAAATACCCCATTTATTTACTGTGTAGTTGATAAGACACTTCATGATTTGCAGTAAAAGGCAATGTGTCATCTATAAACGTGGCAGCAAAATTATAAGTCCCACAGCTGAGGAAGCTGCATCAAGGTTTTCCCATTGATAGGGAAAGTCAGTAAAGGTGAGAGCAGGTATATTCACCTTGCAGTTGAGAACCTAGTGACATTGGTTGTAAATTCTTAACCATGGCTATAGAATGGAATGGAATGGAATAGAAGTTTCTGTTAGAATAGAATAGAGTTTGAATAGAATAGAATTGAAAAGTTGAATTGGAAGGGACCTACAAAGATCATAGAGTTTGACTGCCTGACCATTTCAGAGCTAACCAAAATTTAAAGCATATTATTGAGGGCATTGTCCAAGTGCCTCTTGAACACTGACAGGCATGGGACATCGACCACCTCTCTAGGAAGCCTGTTCCAGTGTTTGACCACCCTCACGGGAAATATTTTTTTCCTAATGTACAGGCTGAAGCTTTTCTTTGAGGCAAAGCTTTCCTTTGAGGATATAATATCTCATATAATCTTTTAAAAAGCAACATCCAAATAAAGAAACAAAACTAACTTAGATTTATACCCTTCTCCTTCCTAATAAATTCGTAAATTTACTGTTACAGAAACACTTTCCATAACTGACTTAATGGCTTTAAGCCATTTTTTTCTTCCTCTGAATTCTTATGTGCCTTCTTTGAAGAGATATATTTCAGTGACAGGAAAACTGTTATCATGACTGTATAATTCAGAAGCAACACCAACTAAACATGAGACTGAGAATGGATCTCTTAAACAAATAGAATTCATTTTATCTGTTCTCATAGCTCTCATGTTGCACAAAGATAAATTAAGGTAAAACAGGCAAAGAGGATTTGTCTGAGGGAATATAGCTGTCCACAGACATCAGTGCAGAAGGGTTTATGATTCCTGATGAAATTGACAAAGCAAGACCACTGCAAATCAGAAGACTTTTATATGTTCAATTAATTCAACATTAATATTTTACCTTGCATAATATACCAAGCAATTTGAAGCTATTTTCTCTCTCATTGTGTATCATAGCAGTCTCAACAAAAGTATTACCTGGAGTTAAGCCTCAGAAATTTACAACCGATATGTCTTAGATAGGATTTCAGTTTGTGCCTGAGTTTTTGGGGTGTGGGTGACTACAGGAGAGGTTTTGTAACACTTCATTGTTAACTAGAAAAAAACTTGATAGAATTTATTAGAATTACACAAGACTGATCATTTTTCTCACATCAGAATACCAGCTACATGAAATTTGGATATGAAAAAGGGGAAAAAATTGAATCTTGAAAATAAAGGGAGAACTTTGAAGAAAGCAAGACTGCACAAGCATGTTCTTTTTAATAATAAATTGCTAAGGAAGTAATTGACATAGAATAATATTTTCTATGCATCTGTTGAATGATCTAGATCTGTATTTTACAGAAAGATGTAACAACCTTAGAAAGAAATGCTTTTGTCCTACAACGCATCATCTTCTAGACTATTTGATCTTCATGATAATCTACAGCACATGTGCTATGCCCATTTCATTGTGTATGTGCCAGCTTCATCCTGCTCCAGGTGATAAGAAGTCTGTCAAAGCAGTCTACTTCATGAGAATGACTTTTAGGTTGACCAACAACTGAGCAGAAGCCACTGTGTTTTTAGCACCTGTGCTAACACATATACATTTGCAGAAATCAAGGAGGAAGTCCACTGCCCCTTACTGGCTTTGTAAAGCCTCAGAAGATAGTTCAGATTTCAAAGAGCATCTAATAGCTTATAGGCAGAGAGAGTTAAGAGCCACAATGCCAGATATCTTGCAGTTGGGTGAAAAAAAAAAAGGGGGGAGGACATTAATTAGCTCCTTTTACTTATGGTATGATATTTTGTTACAGAAAATAATATACATTCCCACACACTAACCAACAGGGACTAAACAACCTACTTCCACTAACTCCAATGTACTCTGTATGTACGCTTCTGAGTACCCTGGGAGAGCATAGCTGGCTTTCTCCAGTAATCCGCCCTGCTAGCAGGTGCTGCAAATCTAGAGGCAGATGTTAATTGATTCATACTGACGGCTCTGGCAGGTTCAGCTCATTAGCCTACCCTGACTGGAACTGCAGTCGAGTGTCTGTCTCCCTGTGCAGAGGAATGGGGGGGAGGGAGGGTTAAGTACCCCTGGTGTGTTAATAAGACTCTGTCCTCGAAGGCAGAGTCTTTGAAGCACCTGCTGCCTTCTTACGGCTTTGGCTTGTAGCGTGACTGGGGAAAGACTGAAATATGAGCAGTATGCAGGTATGGGGGATGTTAAGCCCTAGGTGACTTTGTCATTATCCTTCTACATGCAAGAAACTAGATTTTTAGCTTTGCTTGCTAATCCTAGTTTTAGTTTAGCTTTTAGAGTGAAAACATTTTGATTTGGAGTTATACTTTATTATTAAATGTAGTTATTAATACTGTCTCTATCCTTTAAGGAGCTCTTGTAATGAAGAGGGTTTAAGAGTATGTGTTTATCTCTGGTTCGGTGGAATTAAGTCTCTGCCTATTGCTTCTCCATAACCAGTATCATGATAAAGTAAGTAGTGAAAAAGAACTTAAAGGATCTGCTCATAGGAGATGCTCTAAATGCTCTAATTGTAGCTGAGCAGTAGGATTCCCTCTGATGGGTTCTAACTTAAGAAATGATACTTCATTTTATGAAAGCAAAGATAACAGGTAAATCTTTGTGTCTCTATGGGAAACTGAGAATAATTATAGGCTTCTTTTCATGTCAGTCTTAAAATGACCCTGATATGAGAAGGCTTCTGTTTTATCTTAGACCATATGTGACTTGAAACTCTTCTATTAAAGTGCATAAGGAAAAAAAAATGCAAGTTTTATGCCTCTTTATTATATAAAACAGTCACCTTATGAGGATGAGAGAGCGTAGAAGTGTGGCCACTGGGGTCGACAAGCCCCATCGTTGGTGATAACATCAGACTCCTAACGATGAGACCATCAGGAATGTAAAGAGTTTAGAGGGAACAAAGGGTGATTCAGGAGTCTTAGACTGCTTGCTCTCCAGCCCTTAAGAGTGAAGTTGCTGGGTGTTTGCTGTTGCGGGGCAAAGTTGTAGACCAACAAATAGTTAGTGGAAAAGTACTGTTGTAGAATGAATGGTATAAGAAGATATAGTAGAAGTTGAAGTTACGTCATCAATAAACTGGTAGCAGTTACTGATCTTAAAAGAACCTTGGAGACCATGGGGTCATTCCACCACAAGAAGTTGTTATAAATGAAGTCTCAACTCAATCTGAATTTTGTAATATTTATACTTATTGATTAAGGAGGTATTGGGGAGGCAAGGACAATCCCCAGACAAGGACTGTATATCTCAAAACAAGACACTGGAACTCATGATAAGGAAGCGGCAGAAGGACAGAGAAACAAATGTAAGGACTATAAATCTCGAAACTGAATATTGTAATTCATTATAAAGATACAACAAACAGAAGAATTAGCAACAACCAGCTCTTGCAATTAAGAAACATGCCAACTCAGCAGATTCCTGGCCAAAGGTGAAAAGTACACTGTGAGGAAGACTCGGGGTCTTCCTTCCAAAGACCCCTGCCCACAATTCTTGGGAGGGTCTACACAGGTGCAAGGTGCCAAAAGGCTAATTAGCATGAGAATTGAGGGAAGGCAGGGATAGGTAATGAATATGTATAGATGCTAATAGAATATTGATAGATTGATTGTATGAATTCAAGACTGCTTTTCGTTTTGGGTATGCACGATAGGTGGAGAGATCCCCCATGCATCCAGCGCTGCAATAAAGAATATACCACTTAAAGGAATTTCAGCTTCAGTCTTTGAATCATTATAAAATGCATAAAAGGCAAGTAAACAGTACTGGGTGTGTGGGGAGTCTATGCTCCACTAACATGCACACACAAACATCAAACATTCTAAATATACAGAACGTTGCTTTACATACTAAACATGAGTATGCCTATATATACATACAATCAGGAAAGGTAACAAACAATCCTTTAAGTTCCATGACTTAACAGTCTCCATTTTCCATTCCTTTTGAACAATATGTCTTACTTTATGTTGTCAAGCAACTTAGTCTTTGGGCCCTACGTATCCCAATCTTCGCAGATCGAAGAAAAGCATATTCATCTCCTTTTCAAGGCCTATAGGCACGTCCAGGTCAGCAGGGGTGTAACAGCAAAGGCCTTCGATGGCAGTAGCGGTGGGGGGGGGCCAATGGTGTAGCAGTCAGATCAGTAAAGGAGCCCACAGCTCCCTCACTGTCTGGTAAACCACACATTTGTGATTGTGGCCCCACAGGGCTCTTAAAGGCCTCAGAGACTGCTCACCAGGTGCTGAGCAATCCCACAGCAACCTTGCCATTTTTAGTTGCAGAGTCCCACACCTTGACCTCAACTTGGTTCCATGTTTCAGGATCCTAAACTGTCCGATTGTTAAGGAGAATAAGCTGTAAGGTTACCAGGACAGTCTTTGTTCCTAAGGACGGAACAAATTCCTATATTCAAAATCCTATATTCCCCATAATGTGCAACTGCTTACCAGCGAGGGGCAGTTGTGTGTGCAGGTCCGCTTCTCTCAGCTCGAGCTTCTTCCCAGCTCCGGTGCGCCTGTTTCCAGCGACTTTCTGTTCGAGCTTCTCTGAGCAGTTTGCTGAGTTTGGCTGAACCTATCTTCATGAGGCGATCAATGTGCCTGTTCCCATCCTGGTCTCCGTTCTGCTAGCCTGTTCCTTTTCATTCCTTCTTTCTACTTCTTTATTGATGACATAGCTTTATCACTTCGCGTTGCTTTTTTTTTTTTTTTTCCTTGAGGGCAGGCTCCCCTCTTATACCCTTCACCCCACAGCAGTCCTTTTCAAAACAACTTTTCATTGGTCAAACAACCTTGAATATAACAACAACAGCAAACACCCAGAAACTTCCATGCCTTAATGGCTGGAGAACAAGCAACCCAAGACTGCATGGAGTCTCCTGAATCACATTTTTTTTGTTCCCTCTAAACTCTTATATTCCTGATGGCCTCGTCATTAAGAGTCTAATGTTATCTCAACCACGGCTTTCCAACCCCCATGGCCATACTCTCAAATCTCCCCCTTTATTAATATCAACCATTTTCTCAACATGAATTACCAGTCCTTATATAACAAGGTTATATATTTTCTCTTCTTTAAAAGCAAGTCATGAAACCTCTAAGTTTACAAACTAATATTTGTCACCCATACTGTTATATATGGAATGGTAATTCGTGTCGAGACTCATGAAGATTAAACTGCTGTGAAAAAGAATGAAGTTGTCCTTAAGAAATAACTCCCTTTTTATTATTATTATATATTTTTTTTAATCCCAAAATAGTGGGAAAGCAGGTCTGATTACCTTGGAAGTATGAGGGAAACATGATTTATTTCAAATTCTGTAAGTATTGTTCAAAACAGGTATGTATTTAGAGATTCTGATGTGAAACTCTCTCAAGATGGAGCTCTGAAGCAAAGCACTTTCTCTTTTGTCCCAGGTTTGGTGTCTCCCCCATCTTTAAAAGAAGTCCATGGTGTCAGCTACATTACAGACTTGTGTTTTTTTGTTTGTTTGTTTTTGTTCAGACCCCAGATTTCACATTCATTTTCTGGGTAAGTAAACTATGATCAGCTAAATCTCTAACCATTCCTTTTATGGCTGTAGCAGCAAATGTTTTTTTCTGTATTTGTGGCTGTGGGAGGGGATGAGAAGAAACACCAATGATTTTGCAGCATTGTTCAACAGAGATAAGTTTTAATCTAGTGCAGAGAGGAAAAGGAGAATTTGTGTGATAGAGAAGATACTGACATGGTGAGAAAGTGAGATAACTGGTGGAATATCTGCCTGCAAGGCTGCCTATGTTTCCAAGTCACTCAGAACTGGAGAAGCATTTGAAGTCTGTCCCCTAATTAATGCAACAGCATGAGCTAATTTAGCCTCTGAGAAGCCTGGGGTTTCATTTTTATTTTATTTGTCTAATCTGACAAATGAACTGAAAGGATTTGTGTTTTGTTTTGTTTTTTTTCTTTTTTTTTTTTCTCCCTGTTTGGGTGAGGGGTATGGGAGTGGCTTGTGGAAGTACTGTATACTTAAAGAGATTTGAGCTATCCAAGGTCAGAATTATCCATGTGACAACCTATTTCACCTAACGTTTCACCTAACCTCTTTCATATTTGCCTCGTTAAATTCGTTAAATAAATGCTATTATGCTGGATTTTTTTTAAAGGACTCAAAATTCTAGTTGATTATAGGGTATTGGTGATATCCCAGCTTGGACCAAATATCACTAACCCATTGAAAATCAGTGATTCAGCTCTCTTTGAGGTGTCTAAACAGTGTGATGATAGCTGAAAAGTGAGCTTCCAGCCTTTCTCAGTAGATATATGTTTAGATACACAAAGTACATTCACAGAAATAAATATTCTTTTTGTCTCTGTGGTATGACTCTGACTTGTTTATATTTCTTTCCCAGTGTAAATTAATTAGAAGTTTCGGTGTAAGTGCAACAACTTGCTCCTGATAATACATTTCTTTCCACTACTTTCTACTGCTAGTATAATTTCCCTTAAGGTAATTATAATTTTTAATACTTGAACCGATGGACTGCTGAAAGTCAGCAGCTAAGCAAGGAGTCTCTGTTGCAAGCAGATACTTCTCACTGTTTCTGTTTGCAACCTGCCTAGTTATTGGATACTTAGGGACAGTACATGTCAAAGAGTACTTGTCTTCTGTTGCAATCTTATTGGATAGATCTCACAGGAAGTAAAAGATGGTCTTTAAAATGCCTGTAATAATATGATCCCAGTAAGCAGTGAGATTGGAAATACTTTTTTTCTTCTCTTCATTCTTCTGCTTCCTCTCCCTTGTATTTAAAGGTTTGCTGCTGTCAGGTATGCTGCATTGCCTACTAACTTATCTAATGTTATGGGGCAGCATTAGTTACAGAAGTACTGACTTGTTAACACTTCTAATTAAGAAATGACCCCACTGTGCTGATGCTAGCAACTACTGTTCGGTGTTGTCAGTCCAATAGCTAAGGGAGTAACGTTATAAAGATCAGCTCTTGAAACTTTTATTTATGTTCCATTCTTCTAAAACTATATTAAATACAAGACTTATTTTACTATTCAGCAAACATTCCTGATGCACATGTTATTGTTTGAGAAATAAAGACCAAAACTGTGATCTAATATAGTGACAGCAGCCTTCAAGTGATAGTCAGAAACACATTGCTCAGCATCATGCATGAAAGATTTGGTTGCCATAGTGATACCACTACCATTTGTTTCTGAAAGCTGACTTTTTTTCCTCAAGCTCTTTAAATGTTTGATCGAAAGACTGACAACTATTTGATACTGATCAGTGAATGACTGAGCACCTGCTGCCAGCAATAGCATTCTGTTGCTCACTAAAATGTGATTTAATGCACAGATGCAGGTGAACTTTTATTTTTCCCAAGCTCTATATAACCTTTTTTTTGTTTCTTGCTTTTTTTGTGTGGATAAATAAGGATGGCTTTAGTAACTCAGATGAGCAATGATGTTATGCCTTTTCTCATTGTAAGAGTACTGTTTTCAATTGGTCACTCAGGTCATTCTGTGATAGTTGAAATAATCCTTCAAATTGGGAAAAAAAATATATATATATTTCTTTGTGGTACATCACATAGTTCTGTGGCTTGATGTTTCTTTTCCCCTTTGTCCAATGTTTCTTGTTTCAGACTTCCAGCTGTTGACACACTTGGAAAGGTATTTTAACTCTTGCTAGAGTCCTTTGCCCTGCCTATTTGCACTCAGATTTCTCTTCTCCCACAAACTGCATTTCCAGTTGTCCAACAGGATTATGTTTAATCTGTGAGAAACAGTTCAGATTCCAGCAAGTAAAAGATGGCATCAGTTCTGTCTGCCACCTCAGGAGTATAAAAGGATTGTTGCTCTTATATACTGAAGCTGTAAATTCTTTTAAGTATATCTTTTTCTTTCTGGATGATTTTTCCTCAGCTGTTTCTGAAGATGATGATATCAGTCAACTATGTGATGTTAGGATTTCCTACTGCATGCAGTTTCTTCTCTCAGGCATTTTGAAGCAAAAGCATTCTGTCTTCAGTGTTCATTTCTGGGTTCCTTCTTTGGATTTGTCAATGTTGCTTTCCAACCACCCCTTCAATTGTGATTAATTTAGGGGAGATGTATGGTTGATAGAAAATGGTAGTTAATGTTACAAAGTACCAGAGAAAGGAGTTGCATCTAGTTAAGGAGAAAAGTTAAATCAACTTTTTGAGCTGCTACTGCTGGAGAAAAAAATAAAATCACATTTTTGTTTTCAGGATATAATCAGGCTTGGCCATAATAACTCCTCTTCCTTTATTGGCATGAAAGCTTTCTTCCTAAGTGACTGAGGCTTCAGGGCTTATGTAACTGGTTAAATGACTTTCTGCTTTGATCTAGAGCTCATTCTTGGCTTACTACAAACATACCAAACTTGTCCATTCCATGTCTGCTTCCCTCCACTAGATCTCTCTCTTTTTTTTTTTTTTTTTTTTTGGAAATCAGAACATCAAGACCTGAACATCAGGTTGCATAATGCCATTATCCTCTGATTTGTTTTTTTTTGTTGTTGTTGTTTTTGTTTTTTTTTTTGTTTGTTTGGTTTTTTTTGTTTTTTTAACTATGGTAGTAGCAATAGGCTTGGTCAACATACTTTTATAAAGCTGAGAGATGGAAAAACTGCATGAAAGTACAGAACACAGATTGGGAAGGAAAACCAAACGCTGTCCCTGATAGGGTAAAAAGCTGGAAGGATATTTTTACCCCCTAATTCAGAGGTATTACAACAAAAGCTGATTTGTGGCATTTAAAAAACAAACAAACAAACAAAATGATAGTGTATTTGAATAAGAACTTCTTCTGTAATATATAAACTGTGTGTAAGCAAAAAATTTCCACATCTGCAGCTATGAATGTGATACCTGGTGGTGATGAAGCCTATATGTGAATTCATGCTATGGTGCAATCCTGTGTTAGCCTAAATAGCCCTGTGGCAAGACTTTGGGAATGTTACAGCTGACTTCATTAGCTGCAACATCGGTGGAACTAGTTCTCAATGACCTTTATTCACCACTGCTTAGGTAAGTAAGTACAAGGGCCATTCCCAGCTGTTCTGTTGGGACTTAGTTTCCAATGAAGAATAATAAAGAAACCTGGTAGCTGTATGTCTGAAGTGATTGGTATTTACTTACATTAATTCTGTCTTTGATCTGAATTAATCTGAGCTCTTTTAGCCATTGCTGTAGGAAAAGAGCCAAATACAAACAATTTATTTTAAAATGCATTAATATTCTTACAGAATTGTTACTAAACATTTTCATGTAGTAACAGGCACTCTTAAAGGCTACCTTTGAGTCAGTGCTAGTCTTTCTCTTTTTTTTTTTTTTCCAAAAAATTTATAAACTAAAGAAAATGCATAGGCATTTTTCTAGAGACTTTGGACTTTTTTTATGAAGTTCTCTTTTTAAGAAAGCTTACTTATAGTGCATGATACAAGAGAGTTCACTCAGGTACTGATACAATAGTAGCTTTTAATAAAGGAAGCTTGTCTACAATTCCTGTCACTTGCTAAATCTCTCACAAGAGAAATCTCTCACATAAGAGTATGACATAACTCAGTAAACTCACACAACTCACTAAAGTTTTGGAATCTATGTCTAGCTCACTTTAATATCAGCAAAATAAGCTATCTAAATAAGCTATCTCACTCCCAACGTATGACGTCCCTGTGATGTTCCATGGGCAGACCTCCCACAATCTGATATTTACTGCTTTAAATGCATCTGTAGCCATTTTCCTTATTGTCTTAGGTTGTTTTGTTGTGTTTATTTGTTTTCCCCTCAGTGGTCACAAAGTCTAATTGGAAGAAAATGGATTCCTCTGGATCTTCCGCTGATCTGTGCTTTTTAAATTTGCATACCTGGAATCTTAGGTGTTTGCTGTATGACTTACTTAATCATGGAACATGATCATATTAAGACAGCATACAATTTCACTATTTATGCTGTAGTTTTAGAATGACTATTCATTTAGTATTTCTGGTTAGTACGTTGGAAGTAGTGTTCAAGGCTGTTTGATTAATTTTTATTTCATGAAACTTATGTCCTCAACATATTCAAACTACATCACTCTTTTGGTACAGAGAGGATAGTATATATGCTTAGGCACTTAAGCTGTCTAAGGTGACTGACTGTGTGGTTCCAATTATGTTTTTTCAGATATGTAATTTCTAGCACCTGTGTGAGGGAGGGAAGTATCCCTGCTTCTGCCGAGAAGGGGAGGGGAAGTAAGTCCACAAAAAGCTACATCTCTGATTACGTTAGAGCTATTAGTAGAACCCAGTAAGGACATTAAAATACTAGCACAGATGATAGCATGATAAACTGAAAGTGTATTCAGAATTAAACTTAACACTAAGTGGCTCTGACCTGATTTTATTTGTTAGGGTTAATTAAATGCATTATCTTAACAGTCATAGCAGACTTGCTTTACTTTTATCAAACATGGACATCACTGTAGTTATTTATGAAGGATATAGACTAGAACTTTGTCTCGGCAAGCTTGTACTTGAAAGCAACACTTCTGCAATTCAAACTAATGCCATCAGAATGCCGTATGATCAAAATGTTTCTCTCATTAAAAAGCTATATGTATATTTACTGCTAATGTTGTTGTTAATCTGATATTAACAACACCTGGTAGTGATAACCTTTCAACAAAAGATGAAATAAATACGTGGTTCCTGGAATATAGTTGAACAAAAAGATGATTTGGTGTGCCATATAAATTGAATTCCTATTTATGACTTATCTTGCTTATATGCAACACATTTTCTAAATGTCACACTGAAAAGATCACAGAAGAAATGCTGCAATTTATTTTAGTTGTGGAAATCATTGACTAGAAATCAGAAGTGTGAAAATGATATTGTATGTGTTCTATGGCTGTGTTTGAACACAGAATAAAAACTCAGCATAAGGATGGGTTTAATAATCTGTTTTAACTCCACTGGAATATAAAATCTTCAGTTTCTTGAAGACTAAATACATCAGTTATTCTGCAGCATTTCTTAAACTTATTCCAGAAGTCAACTAGGACTTGTAAATGATCATTTATTAAAGGTTTTTTTACATACTTAGTTTTGTGGCGTGTTCTAAAATATTTCTGTGAACAGATAACCATAAGAAGGATAAAGGAAAGAGCTGGTAAACTTGCACTGCTCTGTTCAGTTATTTTACTTAGTGACCCACTTGATGATTTCTCCTTTTTTCTGTAATAATAGAATAGTTGGGAAATGACATACCATTTTTCCAACAAATCTTATTTGTCTTCCCTTTTGTGTAATATATTGAAAAAATAGATATCACAGAGGGTGATTTCACTGGTAACTACTTAAAGTTAAGAGCAGTTACATAATTGCTGTGGTAAAATATGTTAATTCTGGTTAAAACCTAACATACTACTTGCAGGATGTCATTAGCTCATAAAAGTGCAAACATTTTGGTAACAAAACTTAATTGAGTAAATGGCTCAATATATTTGTCTATAATTTCTAAGTTACTTAATTTAGCTGATCATAAAGTAATGTTGCAGTTCAGAATTGTGATTTTTAGGGTAATTAAAGCAGCATGTAACAGTTGCTCATTCCATCAGACACACAGAATACTTTCTAATGTTTTAGTATTTGATAAGTATTCTTTTACTTATAGGTGTGAATGGAAAGATGGCTTCCAGCAAATGTTCCCAAGAAAAATAGGTATCTGTAGGAGATATTTATCTTCAATAAATTTTTCAGAAATAAACTTTAAAATTTCATTGTATGACCAATCATATAACACAGGGTTTTTCCCTACTTCTCTTCTGAGAACTCAAGATGTTTTTGAGTATGTGCTGGTTTTGTTGACCATTCAAATTATATGAATTTGCTTCTTCAACATGAGAAAATGCTCTCTAACGCTTTTTTGTTTTTTTCTTAATTAAATTATCTTAGAATAATGAAATATATCCTTTTTTTTTTTTTTTTTTTTTTTTCTTGTGCAGTACTCTGGTTATTAGACTGAATATATTAGGGATATTCCAGAGGTTCCAATTAATCTTTGAGTTAACGTGTCAATTTAACAGAAAAGATAAAGATACTAGTCTTGTCTCCTGTATGATCTAGCTGTGAATCGTAAGTCAATGTGTGTAACTGCTAGAAAACTATACCTATTGAACTGAGATCAGTCTATTACCTAGTAATGCTGAACTGCAGACTGTGAGGGAGGAAGTCTCAGTCTTAGTTCTGAAAAATCAGTGTTTTGGCAAGTAATTAAAAACCATAGCTGAGAATCTGTGAACAGAAGAACTGGGGGGGGGGGGGGGGGAGTAACAGGCGTTGTAGGTGTTGAATAACCCCCAAAGCCCCAAGGATCTGTAACATCAACTTCTCAGATAAGTCTTAATTTATACAAAGAATTCTTGCGCAGATTTCTTGTCCTAACTTATTCCAGAAGTTACAAAACTATGCATTTTCTTACTGATCTGAACTTCAAAACCATGTTTTCATGTGAATACAGTTATATATCCTTAAAGGACTAACCTAATTTTAGACTTTAAACAATTACTTCATCACTTTGCAAGATAGCTGAGACAAGGAATAGATTTATAGCTTTCCAGCAAAGATGGTTTTGTCAATTAACATATTGCTTTCTAAAGGGCAGACAAATAGGGATTTGTTGCATAGCAGTTCATTGCAGTTAATGGGTAATTAACATAATGAATATATATATATAAATGCATCAGTAAATATGTTATAACTGAAACTCATACCATTTGGAAGTTCTACATTTAACAATCTATTAGCAGGCTACCTAGAAACAGGCAGTCTAGGCTATACTAAGTGACTCACTTTGTCTGGTACAGTTATGCAAATAGATGTATCTAAGGCTTGTGGGCTGAACTAGGAACCAAGTACTTTGGTTTCTAATTTTGCTGAGAAAATTAGAATAACAACTGAAGTGTTTAACCAATGCGAGAATACACGTTTCTTTACTGGTGATAGTAGTCCTATTGTTAATGTTAGTTGTCATTCTATAATATTTGTATTTTATTTTTAAAGGTTGTACTTGCTTTCAAACTATTGGATTGAATATTCAGATCTCAACTTTTATCTGAAAATAATAGTCATTGGATGAAAGAATAAATAGGGTCTAACAAAAATGCGAGAATACACGTTTCTTTACTGGTGATAGTAGTCCTATTGTTAATGTTAGTTGTCATTCTATAATATTTGTATTTTATTTTTAAAGGTTGTACTTGCTTTCAAACTATTGGATTGAATATTCAGATCTCAACTTTTATCTGAAAATAATAGTCATTGGATGAAAGAATAAATAGGGTCTAACAAAAATTCCCTTTTTTTTCCCCATTTAGTAGGGATAAGTTCATTATTTAGAATAGCAGTCACTCTTAGTTCTATGCGTTCAATATATTGTCAACAGTAGACTACAGCAGATGAAGACCATACTGTTCTGAAAGGCGGTTCTGTGGATGCCCAGCACCTATGAGCTCTCTGTGCCCTCATGAAGTAGAGAGTAACTGCTTATCTCTTTTTCTCTCTATGTGCTTCCATGCAGCCTTTGTGTTTTTTGGTTTTTTTTTTGGTTTGTTTGTTTTTGTTTTGTTTTGTTTTTCCCCGTCTTCTTTTTCCCTTTAATTAGATCATCCTTATATTAAACCTTGAGTCTTTTGAATCATATTTTCTTCCCCTTTGAGGAGGGGGAGTAAGAGAGCTGCCATGGTGGAACTCAACTGCCCACCCAAGTAAAACCACATGTGCTTCTTTTGGTACAGCCCAGGATATGGCTGGCTTTCTGTAAGTGCTGTTGATGTTGAGCTTCTTATCAACAGACACACCCAAGGGCTCTCATTAGAGCTGTTCTCAATCTGTTCTCTATCCAGCCTGCACTTATGCTTGGGTTTGCCCTAGTCCTGATGGCATCCTTTCCCTCCAGTGTGTTGACAGCACCACACAGCTTGTTGTCATTGGCAAGCTTGCTGGGATTTCTCTCAATCCCACTGTTACTGACAAAGATGCTGAACAGCATTGGTCCCAGTACTGACCTCTAAGGAATGCTGCTCATCACTGATCTCTGCTTGGACAGTGAGCTGCTGAGTGCAACTCTTTGACTGCCAGCAACCATCCAGCTAATTTCTTACCCACTGGATAGTCCACCCATCAAATCCATGTCTGTCCAACCTAGAGACAATAATAATGTGTGGCACAGTGTAAAATGCTTTGCAGAATTCCAGGTAGATGACATCAGTTGCTCTTCCCCTCTCCACCAATGCTGTAACCCCATTGTAAAAGGCCACCAGATTTTTCATTCTTGATTTGCCTTTAGTGAAGCCACATTGGCTGTCACCAATCACCTGTTTATTTTCTATGTGCCTTTGAACAGTTTTGAGGAGGATTATTGCAGAAGTAAGACTTGTGGCCTTGGTCTTTAGTCAGTATTATTATTTTTTTTGAGATGCCTAATGCTCAAGGATGACCAAATCTGTATGGTAGTGTTCTGCTTATCAAACTTTCTTGCTTTTCTGAATCTTTTCTGACTGCAAAGAATCCTGTAAACCTAAACTTGATATAACATTCTTCTCTTATAGTCTTATTAGCAGTTTACAAGCCTTCTTGCTACAGTGAATCTGGTTAGTTGAGCATGTGCTGAAGTACACTGCTTAGATGTTGAAGTCCTAGTTGTAGACACCCGTTAGTGATGGGCTGACTAAGATTCTATGCAATCAAAGAATCATAGAATATCCCGATTTGTAAGGGACCCACAAGGATCATTGAGTCCAGCTCCTGGCACCACACAGGTCTACCCAAAAATTCAGACTGTATGACTAAGAGCACAGTCCAACCACTTCTTAAAGTCCGGCAGGCTTGCTGCATTGACTGCATCCCCTGGGAGCCTGTTCCAGCATGCAATCACCTTCTTGGTGAAGAATCTCTTCCCGATATCCAGCCTATCCCCTGCCTCAACTTGACACCACTCCCTGAAGTCCTGTCACTGGTCACCTGAGAGAATAGATCGGTGCCTGCCACTCCACTCCCCCTCATGAGGAAGCTGTAGACTTGATGAGGACTCCCCTCAGCCTCCTCTTTTCCAGGCTGAACAGACCAAGTAACCTTAGTTGCTTCTTATAAGTCTTCCCTTCTTTCAGTACAAATTTAAATGGCTGAAAGATTTTTTGCATGGATCTGATTATGTGTATGGATGCTACAAAAACTGCTGTTCAAGAAGCCAAATTATTGACCACAAACTAAATGAAGTTTGATTCCAGATTAACATGTCTGGAGGAAATCAAACCAAAATAATTGGATTTTTTTTGAAGCTCTTTTAACCTAAGATGGCAACTTCCTCCTACATTACCTATTTAAACTTAACAATATTTTCTTTGTACAGACATTATTCCCCTAAGAGTACATAACTGTTGTCACAACTTTCAAACCACGGGGGTCCTGGCTACTCTGCTACTTTGGTTTATGTTAGGGGCCTAACCTGAAGACCCAGGTTTCTATAGGCATTGCCCTAGATGTTAGCCTCTTCAGTTCTTTCCCTCTGAGACACAAAATACTTATTCTGGGTGTTGCTGGAACATCATTTTATTTTAAGAGGTTTTGAATGAGATGATTTCTCTGTGCTATACTGATTCTGAAATGATTAGTGCTTCACTGCTGGAAGCTCCTTCTACCTGCAGAGAGAAGCTAGTTTAGGGTATGATGCATAATGGTAGCTATAGGTATGACTGCTGACAGCTGATGTCAAGTATTAGAAAACTTTGAATCCCTTTGTCAACTGATGTTCCAAACAAGTAAATTCCAGCAATAAGTATTCTTCTCTGAAATCAAGGTTTTGTGATAATAGTACTCTGAGAACAAGTTCTGTGCAGGTCCTTTGTGCGTGTAGTTCCTTTGCTTTCCTTCCTTATTTTTTTCCTTCTGCTGTTTCTGTCCCTCCTACTATCTTTGTGTATGCCGACTTGGTTGACAATTGATAAGGAAACAAAAGCAGAATGAGAAATCCTGCTAGCACGTAAGGACATAATACCAATAAACTAATCCTCATTTCTTGTTCATCACTTGAATGACAGACTCATGCTGTGGGCTTAAGAAGCCTGTAGAAATGCCAGGTGCATCAGGTGCTCCGAGCCCAGGTGACAGAGCAGTGTTTATGCAGAAAGCTGCCTTTTGCTCTCAGGAAGCAGGGCAGTAGCCCAAGCCAGACTGCTACATTACAGCAAGGCCAAGCCAAGATAGCTACTGAGCTTTCACATGCCTCAAACCATCTGAGGAATAAGCATATCTCTTCTGGCTGATAAAGGATT